ACAGAAAAACAAAAATTTTTTTTAAGGATGTATTGGTGTTTTTTGTTTTAGTTTTTTTTTTTTTTTTTTTTTTTTTTTTTAATCAATCTCTGGATGAGCAACTTACAGATGTATCTAGAGAAGGATATTCACATTTGAATAGGTGGCAGTAATGTTATTAAACAAACAAAAAAAAAAAATAAAGATACCCAATTCACATAAACTCAGATCTGATCCAAGCTGGATCAGATCAGATTCAGTACATGCCCACAATCTGATGTAGACAAACCACCCTCTGTCTTTTTGAACTCTTTCTCTCCATCTATCTCATCAAAAAGATGAGAATTAAGTAATAAAATTAAGGTTAGTAAAAATAATAAGACAAATATAAAATTGGTAAAGATACAAAAAACTAATAGCATGAATCAGTCTTAATAGTCTTATATGCATTATGCTTTTTGCTGGTTTAGTTAAACTTCTTCCACAAGGGGGCGCTAAAAATCTTAACACAACTGTTTTCTCAAAACTGACCACCAAGTGGCGCTGCGACAAAAAATAGAGAGAAAGAAAGGAACCAACACTGATCTGGGTTACGTAATTTCAAACACACCCCTGTGAGTGAGTTTCTCTCATTAAGCAATAAGAAATGTATATTTTATCAAAAATAAACATTTAAACTGTATCATAGTTATTTGAATTTGAAATCTCGTGTTGATTGCTAATAATAGTGTCTTTATAGTTTCACTTAATTCACTGTTTTTCAGGCATTGCACTGCTGCAACTTACAGTGGAAACCCAATGCTTTACAGTTTTAAACTAGTTTTATAACCTTTAATAATCAAGCTTGTAATTCATGTTGATTTATTAACACCTGATATCCACAAGAAAGCAACTAATAAATAACAAGGTTAATGTCAACTGCTTGTGTTATGTTCAAGACCTATTTTTTTTTTTTAATTATCTGATGTCAGTGACATTCTTAGGACAAACCTGGTATTTTTGAAGTATTATCAAATGTGCTAGAAGTTATTCAGGTCATGTGCTGCAACAAATCGCCATAAGCTGTATAATAAGGATGTAATCCGCATTCATTTTTTAAATAAAAACCAACACTGTTTTTCATCATGTCAGACTTCAGACTGTTTTTTAAGGTCACATCATTTCTTATTCAAATAAGCCACATCCCAGAGACAGTGCCAAACTACTAGGTTTTGCACATTAGCATTTTTCTGTTCACATTATGCTCATCTTTGTGCCTGGTTACCAGCTTTCTCTGTTATCTTTTTTTACAGTTATATTGACTCAGATTCCAAGTAATTTATCCAACAGTTTATAGCAAAGTGCTGATCCACCCCAGATGTTTGCTTTCAAAATATTTTTGGGGTGCTTCTTCAATACAAAGCTTGTTAATGACCAAACTCTTAAATTGGGCGGCAAACCTTCAAGCTGGAATGTTTATGTTAACAATAAGCAATTATCCCACCAGGTCTGATGCCTTTTTGAAACATATTCCTGGCATAATGCATCATAATAAGCCTATATATTTCAGAAGATTGCTGGTTGGTATAATGCAAGCTTACCATTGCCTCTGGATCGGAGAATGTGCTGTTAAGGTCCACTGTCTCAAGCTGAGCTGGAGGGCTGCAGAAAGTTATGAGACATGAGTGATGTTCATGAGAAGTTTACCAAAGAAAACTGGTGAAAGCTGTGTGTAGCACACACACACAAATAAATAAATAATTTTAAGAAATTCAACATGTTGGTTGTGTGCATATAATGCCTTCAGATGTATTAAAACTAAAATATAAATCATTTTATGTCTTACATTGAGCTTTCCAGTCACTGTGCTCACTGAAAACTTTAGCATAGTTTAATGTGGGCTTTTGTGCAGCTTTATTTGTGATGGGTCAAGACGATTTTTTTAAATTACTGGTTTGATTTTTGATATGAGCAAATTTCTTTAAGCAAAGAATCTTTTCTTATCCCTTAGTCACAGGCTTAAGCTATGTTTCCTTTTCTTTCTCATTCAGTAGTTTTTGTTTTGAAACTTCTTTGAAGTTGCAGTAAGTGTCTTGCGAGATTGCAAAAAAGAACACAAAATTACCACTGAAAAACTGTGCTCAATTAAAGGTTGCACTTTTTTCAGTGTAAGATTGTGCTATTACAAGGAAAGATTAATTTAGCTCAAGGCACTTAAATGTCCAGGAGTGCCAACATTTCTGGAGTGTGCCGGTTATCTGTCCATGACTTACTTGAGTTTAAGAGAGGCGTAGCGGAGTGTAGCTCCTTCAAATGCTTTAAGACTGGGATCTGGGTAAACTGGATAGTCCTTCAAGTCCTGAAGACAAAGGAGAAAAAACAGGAATTGTTGGAGGAAAAGATTGAGTTCTGACAGGTTTTTAAAAAAATGGTTTTGGTTTCCTTTACTTTGTGACAGCTGGCAAACATTTATTTTATTTTATTTTAATTCAGCTTGAGACACATTTTCTCTGTTAGTTGGATATGTTAAAAGCCATGTTCATATATCCAGCAAAAAAAAAAAAAAAAAAGAAAAAAATTATATTGAAAATTTGGCATACTTTTGATGTGGGAGTGGTAGTGCTGAGAACTGGATTGGGAGAGAAGAGGCCTTTGGAGGGTGAGGAGGAGGAAGAGGACGGGGAGGAACCAGACGGAGAAGGGACCGGCTCCACTGAGCTGTCAGATATCAAACTGCTCGGGCGCTGGAAACAAGAAAGAAAAGATGCAACAAAACACAAAGAAGTAATGCATCGAAACAAACTGACATTTATCAAACAGCATCACTATTGTGTAGCTTCAACCAAAAGAACCTTGTGATATGCTACATAAATCTTGAAATATGTTTGAGTCCTTTCCTCTACATGTATAAGTTTGGGTTTCATTAACATTTCAGAAAAAAAAATAAAATTCAAAAAGTACCAAATTAGATAAAACTCAGGTTATTTAACTTTATGTTTTAGATATGACTGAATATTCTTCAGGATTTCTTACTATGGAGCAGGATTCACAGTTTCATCAGTTAAAGTGATTCATTAAGTTCCCATCAGAACATCACCAATACCACCATATTTGTCTGTTTAATTCTGTCTTTCGCCCATTAATATATTAGTTTTACTTCAGACGTTACAGAATGAGCACCTCTACACTTTTTGTTTTGCTAGTCCAGTTTTGGTGAGCTGCGGATTTTTCTTAACTCATGATTTGCAAATGTCTTTAGTACATGATGTCATGATGTTTTCCTATTTCAGATATTTTATCCTGCTTTACAATGTCAGACAGGTTCTGTTTGATTCTACAGATATTGTGAAATTAAATTGATCTTTCCAAAAACTGCATGCAGTTTTTCACATAGCTTTCTCCCTTTAACTATTGAAATCATCGTTTAAACTTTTCATTGTGTAATTCCTATGGTTATAATCGTCTAAAATTAACATTTGTTTGATGCTTAAGAGTTCAGGTGTCTCAAAAAAAAACAAAAAAAACTGAAGAAATGCATAGGGGAGCAAACACTTATTTATAGCATTGTGAATACACAAACACCATAAAATTCACCCTATCATGTCTTGCATCTAGCAGTCCTCTTACCTCATTTGGTAGCTTAAGGGAGTCTTGTGTTTCTTTTTGTGGGTCATGCTCAGAGTCTGGCGCATTGCTAGAAGTGGTATCTTGGTTTCCAGAGGCAACGGGTCGGTCATACTGTGTAGTGCCGGTGGGAACGTGCCAGAAATAGACTTCGGATGAGTCTGAGATCTCCCGCCAGCCTGGGGGCAGATCCCCTTCAGCCCATACATCTGCTGATGGATGACAGGGATATGCAGTTACATATATTACGCATGAGGATATCATCAAAATGTACACAAAGGATCTACGCTCATAGATAAGCTCGATAAGGCCTTGTAATGCAAGTGTTCAGTCAATACAAAACACCACAGATAGAAATAAAAACCCAGAGGATAAATATCGCTAATAGTCTGTGTGTGTTCAGTTTCTGTTGTCATGGCAAAGCCTGAGCTCATAACCCGTGGCAAGGCCCAATAGTCACCAATCAGTCTTGCTTTCTCTCTGTTGGCTTTATGTTACTCTGTATACCCTAATATTAGCGAGATAATACTTTAACATACATGCCAGAAAATCCCCTCCCCTCCAATTCTTCTCTGCTTTTTCACGCCCTTCTCTCTGCAGCATCCTGTTCTATAACACCGTATTTCCTCTCTGCACCATAAGGCTGCTCAAGGGGGCCTTTAAGCCTCCAACATTATTGCTGTAGTACCTTGCTTGGTTAAAGTGCGTCTTTGTAAAATTACAGATCTGTCAAATGGAGGTAGAAGGATATAGAGGAAAGATGGTGCAATTGGGGTATGATTAAAGGAGGAAAAATAAATTAAAATTCTTTAAATAAAAAAATCGGATGAAAGGATAAACATAACAAACCTGTCTCATTTGGGCTCTGTGGAGAGGGTGACTCTTGAGACAGAGTGGTCCAGCTGGAGTCTTCATCCTCTGATGGTGTGTCAGGAGTCAAATCCATTTTCAGGCCCACTTTAGGAAGGCCCGTCTCTGGCGCCGGTTCCTGCAGGGGCGGAGATACCCAATTCTTGGTAGGGGTGCTTTTTTCAGCAGCTCTGGCTTGCTTAGGGGAGAATGGAGGGTATTGTTGCAAAAACTGATTCTCGTTGTTGGGGTGCAACTCCACTTTGATCACCCGGGGCTGGGAGGTTCGAGTTGGCTTTGCAGGACTACGTGGACTAGCTTGCACTTGGGGACACAGCTCTTCTCGAATTGGCGCTGGGGCTTGATTCTGGAGGTGGTTGAGGTTGTCTGACACCCATTCTGGGCTGTTTGCAGAAGAGGAGGAGGTGGAGGAAAGAGGCGCCTCAACCACTACCGGCAGTAGGGGCTGTCTCGGCGTTGGGGTGGGCTCATCTTCCTCCTCATCTTCCTCCACGACAGACTCCACGTTATCCTTTTCCTCGTGACCGTTTTGCTTGCAGTTGGTCTTCTCCTCCTTCTGACTGTCTCTTTCTTTGGCAGGGCTGTCCTGTTCTTTTTCGGATGCAGGCAGCTGCTTCTTCTCCTCTTCCTCTTCCTCCTTCCCCTCTTTGTTTTCCCAACTGGGGTCCAGATCCCAGCATTTGCCGTGGTACTCCAAAAAGCTTTTGGTTCTTCTACGAAACGGAGGAAGCTGAGAGTTGTCCTTCCCAAACTCCAGCCAATCTGAAGTCGGATTATTGAAGAGATCATTGTGAATTTTCTCCACAGTATTTGCCCTGCTCAGCTGTAGCTGCTGGCTCTCAGCTCGCCTCTGCATGTTAGCTCCATTCTTGGCTAGTTTGGGGTTAGTTGTGTTGAAGGAGGAGGAGGATGAAGAAGAGGAAGAGTAGAGGGCAGAACTGGATGAGGACTTGGTTGGGAGTCCTCTTCCTCTGGTTACTGGTTGGTACTTAGAGGACAGAGCAAAGTTGTCACTTATCCCCATGGCACTCCGCACAGTGGTCATGGCATACCTCTGACGGCTCTTGGGCAAAGTGGCCGAGCTCCCGGTTTCCATCGACTCCTTGATGACGTCGCGACCAAGCAGCTGGTTGTAAGATGAGCGAAGACTCAGAGAGGTGGGAGGGGTGGCTGAGGGTGTACTGCGATTTGCCAGACCCCCAGTGGAGGGGGTGGAGCCAGAACGGGAGAGGGGCGGAGTTTGTACTGACATCATGTCTGACTAGAAATACACCGCAAGGATGGAGCTGTTGGGAGATGGAGAGCAACAGAAAGAAAGAAAGCTGTCAACTAAACTGAAGCACACACTTATATACTAGATTAAGATTCTTTTAATAAATAAATTAAAAAAAAATCTAAATTTCATAACAGCAGGTCACAGCTGTCCCAAATTGTGATTGAAAATCGGCCACAACACCTCTTACTGGAGCATCTCTGATTATTAATTCAGTGTCTGATATCACATCTCATTGGCTGCAGCTTAAACAGGCTTCAAAAAGAACACATCAAGACACTACTAAGATCCTGTAGAAAGAGACGAAGAGCTGAGAAATACAGCATCAAAGTCACAACGCTGAAATAGACTCGCATGATGCCCAGAATGACTCAGACTCTCGATCCATTAAATCAGGACTCACTTTCAAAGGGGAAGCTGAGGAGTAAAGCTGGCCTGTGGGGAAGAGAGGTGTCAGGCAGTCCTGCTAACTAGCTGTCTCTTTTATCTCTGGGTGGATCAGCTCTGCGTTGCGGACTAAAGATGGCTTGATAGCAACAAANAGAGTGGTAGAATAATATTNCAATCAAAGGCGTGACACATACAAAATATGGGTTTTGTATGTGGGTTAGTTAGTTACATCACTAACTAACCCACCTGTAACCCCTTTGGAAAAGCAGTCGGGTAAACATGTCTAGACACGCAAACCAAACGGATAAACATCCTGCCACCTAATCACAAACAAACCCGGCTCAAACATTGCTGCAGTCATCACAGCCCTTTTGTCTTAAAGATATGGAAAACTCGAGCACAGCAGATTTTAAAGCATGTCATTATCATGGGAAAAGGGCCGGGGCAGAATTGAAACGAGAGCAGAATATGTAGACGGTGCATTATGCTGCTGCGGGTCCTCTATCTGCACCCGCCCCCCTGGGTGGCGGCCGTGTTGTTCCCGTGAGCCACACAACAACCTGTCAGTGCTGAATCTGTGTTCATCTGCGGGTTTGTGTCTCAAACACAATCAACAGGTTCAAACTACCGGCACCAAGGTTTCCACTGTCACAACAAAACCATTATTGTCATGCTGGATTAAATACCAATTCAGCCAACAGATCAGCTCTTGACTTTAGATGAAAAACATACTTTCCAATGCCATGCAAATGTATTTACAGCCCTTGAACTTTTCCCACATTTTGTCACTTTACAACTTCAAACTTCATTGTTTTAGTTTTTTCAAAATGTGTTACAAATACAAGCCTGTAAATTATGTCAAGTACTTGTATTCTGTTACCTTTACTTCGATTCCTCTGAATACAACCTCGTGTCACCAATTGCCCCCAGAAGTCACCTGATTAACAAATAGTCCCAATCTCTTTTTAATCTAATCTCACTATAAATCTTGCTGTTCTGTGAAAGACTCAGAGGTTGTTTTTTTTTTAGAGATTATTAGAGACCAGACCTGGTATCTGGACCTGGACAGGTCAGGGAGAGATTTAAAGCAAGTTCAGACACAACAAAATCACCCAAGCTTTCAACATCCCATGGAGTCAGGGGTCTCCACCTCTAGTCTTCGAAATTTACTGTGTTGCATGTTTCAGACTCATCCCTGCTCTAACACAGGTCAGAGAATAAATTGATTGAACTGCCCCTTCAGCATGCCATCAAACTTGGCAAATGCCTGCTAATGAGCCATTCATTTGATTCAGGTGTGTAAGAACAGGGACGCATTGAAAAGCCGCAGGACAGTAGATCCCTTGTTAAGTCATCACCTGAAATAGAAAGAGTATGGCTACATTTCAAACCTAAAATGATATGGCAATCCATCTAATCTGACACCCACATAAGAGGAGCATTAATAAAGAAAAAAAAAAACAGCCAACGTGGAGGAGCTGCAGAGATCTACTGTCAAGACAACCATTAGTTTTTCTCTTCACAAACCTGACTTTTATAGAAGTGCGACAAGAAAAAAGAAAGCAATAAGAAGGAGCTTCCTTCCAGCAGTTTACAGGATACATCAAACATGGAACAGTTGGTCTGGTCAGATATGGATACAACTGAACTGCTACTGCCTGCATGGGTGCAGGAAAACTGACACCAGCCTCTCCCTGAACATAGTGTCTCCACAGTAAGAGACATGATGCTGTGGAGGAGCTTTCCTTAACAGGGTTAGGGAAACTGATCAATGTTAATGGGAAAATGGGTCAATCCTGAAATAAAACATGTTAGAGGGCACAAAAGACTTGAAGCTGGGAATGACGGTTCACATTTTAGCAGAACAACAAGCCTAAACATAAAGCCAGACGTATGGATTGGTTTGGATCAAAGCATATTGTTCAGTGAGAATGGCCTACTCAAAGTGGAGACATAAATCTGATTCAGAATATGTGGCAGGATATGAAAATGGATGCAACAGAAAATGAGTGATTTCACAAAGAATAAACAAAAATATATTAGTGTAAAGTTTATAAAATTATTATTCACTATAATTAGAGACTGCAGGCTCTATAACATAATATCTCAGAGGGACTGACAACAAAATGCATGCCAACATTTTTTAATGTAAATTTGAAAATCAAATTTTCTTTCCACTTCACAATTACACAGTATTGTGTGATGGTTGGTCACTTAAAAGCCCAATAAATTATATGTAAGTTTTTGGTGGCAACTTGACAAATTTCTAAAAGTTCTCAAGAGTTTTGGTGAAGTGACATTGTATACAGTAAATTCTACAAACCGATGAAATAAAATGGTTAAAATGTCAATAAAAACTATTGTAGCTTCACGTCGTTACTGATCATGTGGACAAACTGCATCATCAGTCAACACACAAACAGCAGACCTTTCCGCCTGAAACCCTCCCCTCCGCGATGCAGACAGGTCTCTGGTAGTTACGGGCTAAGTGGGGCAGAGACAGGATGCAGGGAGAGGAGGAGAAAGGAGGGTTATTACAGGGAGAAAGGGAGCAGAATGACACAGCAGTTTGCAGGACAGTGGGACACAGTCAACACAAAGAGGCTGTTATGTTTCCTCCAAAGTCGCCCTCAATAAATCTGCTGTGCATCATGCCAGGGGAAGTTAGTCAGGAGATGGAAAGATGTTACCAGCAGAATCTCTGAACATCATCTCAGTCTGAGTTTAAATGCTTTTAAACTGTAACATATATTCGAATTTGAGTTTATAAGGAAATCCCCCCCACCTGTCATGACCTTTCTCACAAATGTACTTGAAAAGACGAAATGCAATATTTTTGACATACATATTCTACCATTGCCTCTATAACTGTGGAGAAAAACATCAGAATCTTCTGTTGATCCCTAATCAATTTGCACACATAAGAGTGTTTTTACCTGAAGATTTTATTAGCTAATTTCAAAAACAGGCTTCCTGGATTAATCATGTCACATTTTAGAGGAAACCAGCTAGTTATGACGCGTCTCCTCCCTCAACTCTGAGCTGCTCTGCTTCTAGGAAAAAGAAGAAGAAGAAGAAATGCAACAGATGAAAGCATAAGCTGGGGAGAAATTGAACTTGCAAAAGTCGATGATGTCATGGGTGGAGTATTCCTGCGCCTGCTTTTCTTGCAGCCTGCGTAAACTCCCTCCTTGACAAACCAGGGACAACCTGATCTAATCTCGCGTACATAAAATGCCAGGAATTAAAAGTAAAGGTGGTGCTGTAGCGAAATCTAGGGTCTAATTTTCAGGGCAGACGCAGCAGATCTTTCGCATCTCTTCTCTCTCTTCAGCCCCATCACCACCGCCGCACTGGGAGGGGAGTGCATCCCAGTTAGAGCATCTATTTACATCCACTCACCGCTTCGCTCAGCTGTCCGCGCCTCCCTTCCCTTCTCACGACGACGAGACACAAAGTAGTGGGCCGGTGTCAAGCGCTGCTTTTAAGTGCCAGTCCTGCCCGTAGCGTTGAGCCGGGCCGCCCGCATCACATCATCCCTCCGCCCTCACCAGCCCCGCGGCTCGCTGCGCTGCTGGCGGCCGAGCTTTGCGCTCTCTCTCTGCGCCAGATGATCCCCGGAGCTGCGCGGCGTGGCGCTGTGGAGCCCTCTCCGTCTCTCTCTCAGCGCAGCCGGCCAATAGGAGCCGCGAACGGAAGACGCTGGGAGCACGAAGCGGAGGGACGCAGCCGTAATAATAAATCTACTGGAGTTAGTTTGCAACTCAGGTAATGAAATCACACATCATCGGGGCTGTTACATCACGCAGCACACTGAACACACACGGCTGCTCTTAAAGAGCCAGGCAAGAATCAAACTATTCTTGTTCCAAGGCTCCAACACATTTTCGTTTTAAGATTTCCACCCTTCTTCAGACCTAATTTACAAAATTGTCAGTAAACATTTTACAGCGTAGATAAAAAGATTTAAAATTAATTTATAGATGAATAGGTGGATGATTGGACACTATAGAAACGGTATTATAAAATAAAAGGTTGTTTACATTAATGCCAAATTGTGAGGCCTAGTTTGTTCATACATTGTCTTCTGGTGCCCATCTCCTGTGGTCATTGGGTGAGAGGCGGGACAGGTCAATAGTCCATCACAGGACAAACAAGCATATGTACTCACTCATAGCAAAATAAAAATTAGAAAGACCAATTAATTGTTTCCATTAATTAAAAATAAAGTCATGTTTTTGAATGCTTTGGGTACATTGGTGTGGGCGCCAAAGTACCCAAAGAGAACCCATGCATGCACAGAGGCTATTTAAGTTTAATCAAATTAGATATCATAGACTTTCACAGAAAGTCAGAAACTCAGTTGGATTTTTAAAAAAGTTTTTTACTTAAAACTGTGCGTTTCACAGAGTAAACATCCTCCTCAAAATTAACACTGGCACAGCTGGTTAACATGGTTGGCAGAGGGGAAAATTCTGAAATGGTTGCTTTACAATAAAAGACACAAAGGTTGTGGCTAGAAATATGACACTGATACAACACAGCGGAGATTAGCATTATTCCTGGTAACTGTAGTTCTTTTGAAGAGATTAATCCTACTTGTGCGGAAGCAGAGAAACCCAACCAAAAGTAATCTGAAGGGTTTTGCACATTAGAGGACAAATAAAGACATTCATAGCCTTAAAAAAACTAAAGCTGTCAGATTGTTTTCTAACCATCTTTCAGACATAAACAAAAAAAAAACACAAACATATTCAGACCTCACAGTATATAGACACAAAACACTGACCCTTTCCTTTCAACGATGCCACATTCAAACTGAAGTACATTCCTTGTGCATGTAGCTTGGCTTTGTTTTCTTCCTATCCTATCCCTACTGTCCACTGGCAAACTCCCCTTTCTGTGCCGGGCGGATGGAGGTGAACACATGTGGAGGATAGTGACGGAGGTTCACACAGGCTGCCGGTGCTCCACGAGTGAGAGAGGAGACTGGACTGGGCACAATGGGCCAGAGAAGAAAGCGGCTGGCGCCAGCTGTCGGCCACAGAGAAGCAGGGAGCTGATCGGATGGAGCGCATTGCTACATCTACATTATCAAGTGTGAGAAAAAAATAAATAAAAACAGCCATTATACATCAACAATGAGAAATACATGTTTCCTATTGATCAGTTGAACCTACCCCCGTATGAATTATCAGGAGGCGTCAGTAGTCTCTTTGCTTGCTTGTTTCCTGCTTGTGCGGCTCGCTTGTAAAACTCCACTGCCATCTTTAAATTCTGCTGCACCTCGATGCCGCTTTCGTAGCACTGACCCAACAAGAACAGAGCCGAGTTGTCCTGAGCACAAAAACAATCAGTTTAAGTTTTATAAGCTTCATTTTGGTCCAGAAATTAACAAACAGGTTTCATGAGTTACTTGCATTGCAGGTACAATTTTAAATGAACCAACACAGTGAAATTCTGCAAGAGTAATAATAAGTAAAAGACAGTTAAAGTATACAAACAAAGCTGAAACAGAAAGTTGTACAAAATCCTAATGAAGTAACATATGTCTGTAGTAAACTTTTCTAATGCACCAGGATGGGGAGGGCAATGTCCCAGTAAAAGCGACTGACAAACAACTACAGTGGAATTATCTAGAAGGGGACTCACTCCACTCTCTGCTGCCATCTTCAGGTACTGAATGGACTTGTGCACATTTTTGGCAGGATGCTGAGAGTAAAAAGAGGCCAGGCAGATCTGGGCCTAAACAACAGAAAAGGAAAAAAAAAGTTGTGTTAAGAAGTTCTTGTCTTATTATATTTATAGAATAATTAAGTCCAGACAAGCTGCCATAATAATAATTAAAAAAAAAATATTCTGTGATCCCAACATTTTTCTTAATTATTCAACCTCATAAGCATAATATGCTTAATTGTGGTGTTTATAATTTCTCTTAGTAAAGTTAGATAACTAAAGATTTTTAAACAATAAAAATATTCTTGAAATTTGGGCTTTTATGAATGCTTTGAAGTTAATTATTTTTTGTTTTTCACAACAGAAAAAGAAAAATCATCTAACCTGCCACAATGGTGTGACTGACCACACATTAAATCAACATAAAATCAAATGAATCAGTTGTCTTAGTTATATTATCTACTGCTGTGCTGCTCTGAAAATGGCATAATTTTAATGAAAAAGTTCAGTAAATCTAAAAGACAAGAGAATAAAGTAAGTTATTCATTAATTACGTAACAGTATTTCAATACTGTAGCTGCAAAGATTATCACATAGAGAGTTTGAACTTTTACAGAATCCCTGTCTTGATTTGTACCTTTGTGAGCCCAGCTGTAGCTGCTTCTTCCAGTAACTTAATGGCTGTGTCCACCTCCTCTGTACTCTGATGCCCCCTGCTGGCCAGCAGCAGCTTTGCATAACGATACTGAGCTTGTTTATGGCCACTGGTGGCCGCAAGCTTGTAGAAGTGAAGAGCCTTACAGAGAAAAGACAAACACTTAAAATATTAAAATCAGGTTCAAAGTGAATAAATTAATATGAAAATAAATACATTAATACACAGACATAGGTTCAGATTAAATGTAATTAAAAATATTAAATTAAATATGACCTGCGTTGGGATAAGTGTCAACTGTAACTAAAAAGAGAAACTAAGGGCTTGAAAAATGGGGGGGATGTTAATAAAACCAAAACAGGTGCACAGGTGTAAGTAACCTTATTGTTTGTTTTTTTAAACAAAACAGTTTTTAAGGAATAGAGGAATGAATGAGCATTAACATCTTTCACATTAATAAAACAAATTCAACTAATGTGATGTATAACAGAGATAAAAACTAATATTTTAATCAGTTTCAGAATGTGCTTCAGCTCTGACTGGACTCTATAATATAGATAACATGTACATTGACTTTGTAATAAATAAGTTTAGGATTTGACACACAACATCCGGTATATTTATATTTTAAGAACTGCATTTCTGGTTTTTCTTATGGTCATCTATGATATAGGCCTGATTTAACTGATATTATAAGAATTGTTGTTTTGGGTTTTTTTTTGCTAATTTTATTGTGTCAATACTTAGCAAGTATCATAAAAATGAACAATGGTCTCACCTTCTCCTTGTCCTTGCTGACTCCTCTTCCCTTCTCATAGCACACCCCAGTGTTAAACTGCGCCTTGTTGTAGCCATGCTGAGCTGAAGCTAGAAAGCAGCAGAAAGCTTCCTCATAGTTTTCTCTCTTGGCACTTTCTAGACCTGTTGCATTCACAGAGAAAGAGAAACAAATGGACAAAGGTTTCCACACATGAAGGTCTGGGTGATATTCTGAGCTGAATTTCTCAGTTAAATCTTTACCAATGATGTTCAGGATTACGGGTACGCTGGTGTCTCCCACACTTCTGAGGTTGTGCGCTGCTTCTGTCAGCCTCTCGTTATCTGACACTTCCTAAAAACACAGACAAAGATAAAGATACAACAATAAAAAATAAGATTTCAACTCGATTGGGTCTGGTAATGAATACTTGAAAAAGACGATCTTTCCAAAGTTTCACCTTGTCTTTGTTATCTGTGCGTTTTTGGTTGATCTCAGTCTGCAGGGGAGAACTCAAATGTGGTTCCTCTGTGTGTCAGAGGCATAAAATGTGTCAAACTCCATCCTCATCAAATTTTGTACAAAAACATCAAGAGTGGCATCATTCTACAGAATCTGACATTAAAGCACAGAACAAACCAGGCGTCAGTGGATCCTTGCCCAAGAGCTCCTCCCGGTGGTCGGAGAGGGAACTGTCAGAAGTCCCACTGCTGTTGCTGCTTTGAGATGGGGACTGATCTTGATTCTGTCCCTCTGGCACAGCCTGGAGACACAAGACATTTCTTCCTCTGGGCAGGACGTCACGTCTTGATACTGCTGACAACAAACAACACTGCTGTGTTGGAATACTGATCACACGAGGGTATAGGAAAAAGGGGTTATGGGATGGAGACTGTTAAACATCTCATGAATTTTGGCAGTGATTTTAATGTAATAATATCAGAGTTTAGTTGGTGTGGGTGTACTACTACAATGGTGCCAGAAAGACTCACAAATTTCCAGCAGGACGCGGTATCCGCATTTCTGCAGGGACGGGGGAGCTGTCAGCGTTCCAGCGCTGGGACTGGGCTCGCTGCCTGAAGAAAACCTGGAGTGGATCCTTCTGCAGATCTGCATAAACAGCACTGCCACCGCTCCCTGTGGAGAAACCCACTGTCACGAGAACATCTCCACTGTCTCTGTGCTAGGAAACCCTGAAAGTATTCCAGAAGTGGTCAGCATTGTGGCACTAAGCTCAGGGGCTTTCACTTCCTGGTTTTACGTTATTTAGTGCGATTAAAATTAGTCCTCTGGTTGCTGATTTCTGTCAAACAGAAAGCCAGACTTTCAGTGTGTACACTTTTTACGTCTTTCTGATAAACTACCACAAGCCAATTACTACAAACTCGATATTGGAACATATATTTTTTAAACACAAACATATCCTTGGGTAATTATTGATATCTAGAGATATCAATCTTTGATTAAGACCTACCCATCCCACAGCATCCAGGGCTGTGTAATTTCGAAGTTCAGCATGAAACTGAAACGTCTTTTCTTTCTTCCTCTTCTTCCCATGATCCTCCTGGGATCTGCATATTAACAGAAGAAAAAAAAAAAAGATACATCTCTTTTTTTTCCATCTCACAGTACACAATGTCGGGAATTTTCAGTTGGAGCTGGCTCGGTTTATTTCTGCTTCCCGTTAACGCTGC